AAATATGCCATTTTATATTTATTTCTCTTTAAACTTAATAAGATAAAGTTAGTTTTCTGTGCTTGCAACTAAAAAAGAGAAAACTGGTACAAATCAATTATAGTATAGTTATTTAGGCAAGACATTACAGAAAGTGGATGACTGAATTTGGGCAAGAGAACCACAGCCCAAAAAATCTCCTCCTTACTGTGCTTACCAGGTTAAGTCCATTGGAAAGGGATAGAACATTGGAAGTGTGAAATAAAAACCTCCAACCTTCAGAGAGGCTTAGGGTGTAGTGCAGCTTGCCTAAGAATACGTCAGAATATGTATCACCATCTGGTGGAAAGATAATGAGCTATGCCCCTCTCTCAGAGGGGATGAAATGACATGATAAGTTCTGGTGTAGTTATGGCCATGTCATGGGGCCTAGCAGCAGCTCTTATTATACTCTCTTCTGACAAGGGAAAAATATATCATTATCCATGTGATTTTTAAACACTTCATAAACTTGGAAATATAAATATTTTACTGGTTTAAACAACTACAATTTTTGATCCCTAAAACCCCTATGAAAATTCTCAGAGTTACACTACATAAGAACTCCCCTGCCGTTGTTTTCATTGTAGACTGCCCCTTCTCTCAAATTCCTCCTTCCCCTCCTGAATCCCACTCTTCTTGGACACAGGTTAAAAAAAACTGTCTGAATATCAAAACCAGGAACTCACTGAGATGATCATTAATTCTTGGCAAATTCATTTCTGTATTGAATTAAGTATATATCAGTAAGTATGTTTTACTTTCCTCATATGTGATCCTCCCAAAAAGGAAAGTCAATGTCAACCCCGTGAAAACTTATAGAAAATGGAAGTGAGAACAGAAACCAAAAATGGAAATATATTCCTAGAATTATAAGTGTTTTTCAAACAAACTTAAAAAAAAAAGGACACAGAGGGCATATTTTTATCAGTATTAGCCACAGTTCAAAAGAATCTTCAGACCCAAATTTTAATAAAATGCTTTACTGAGAGATTTGTTCTTCTCAGGTTGCTTTTTATAAACAGACTAGAAGCCTGTAACCGGTTCTCCAGGAAAAATCTTAGTGCTGATCTAGCCCTTGTAAAATACTGTGATTCAAGTATTAGGATTTAATATTATTGTCATGGGCAAAATGCTACTATGTGTAAAAATTTTGGAAGGATAACAGTTTTCTTCTGCCATAAGGAAAATGATCAAGTTTCATTGGAATAAAATAAGATGCCACCACTTATGATTGTTTTGTTGGTCAAACTGCCTTGGATTTAAAAAAAAAATCTTAACCTAGTCTTAGAAAGATCACTTTGCATATAGCTGAGAAAAGTAGGACAGTCATAAATGAATTTGCCAAGAACTCTATAATCTGAGTCCCTGATGTAAACTCATTAAAATAAAACTGAAAGACTCTATTATCTCATCTCACTTTATGAATAAACACAATCTGGAAAATAGGCCCTTTTAAAGGAAGGATTTATGAATGCTGCATATATTTTGCAGTAGCTTTCTTGTGTTAATATGATCATAATTCCATAAGGATCATAATGCATTGATTTAATTTATTTATGAAAACTCCAAGCAGGATAGCACTAATAGGTAGGATGGAAAGAAGGAATGAAGGGAGAGAGGAAAGAAAGTAAGAAGGAGGGAGAAAAGGAGGGAAAGAGAGAGGAAGAATTCTCACCTAGTCACGAAGAAGCTTTAATCGATCATTTTTTTAAAGGTTTGAATAGTATGCTAATCAAACAACAGCCTCATGAGAAGAGTTATCTGTCAAGTAAATAACTTGATCTGAAGTGTTCATGGTTGCACCATAATAGTGAATCAGAACCAGGATTCTCAACTTGTTCTGTCCACTATTAAATTAAAAAAACAGACAAACCAAAGAACTATGGCAATTAAAAGTGGATACGCTGAATGAGTGTTAAAGGCTCAAGTTGAAGTCTCTGTCTTCATTATCTGACTAAAACCAGAGAAAGACCAAACATAACCACCACCAACATTCAATACGTCACCTTGCGGCATAAGAATGTTTTCATAATTTAGGAATCCATACGGTACTTTCAAGAGACTGGGAGAAAAGTAATGCTATTAGAATAGATTAAGATGAAGAGTTCAGACTTCTCTGGATTTTGTTTGACTTTTTTGATGAGTATATCTTTGAGACTTGGGGAGTGTTATTTATGTTATAGACTCTTCAGTGGAGTATTCATAGTAGTGTAAAGATTCTTTAAAAATAAGGCACAAATATACTGCTCTCTGATTGTTTCCCATGAAAGTGCACCAAAAGAGCTATCTCAGGAAATGGACTTGAGGCACATTTTGCAGAGGTATATCTTTTTCAGCCTACTGGCTTCCTACAGATGGCTAAAGCAGGGTATGGAACATGCTGTCATATTTCATTCATAACACACATGTACTGTAGCTCTAGGCAACAGATGGACAATCGCTTGTTTAAACTACAAATGTGAAATACTAAGGTAGAATAGCAATATTTCTAGAAATGTATATGGAAAAAACAGCCTTTCTAAGCCAAGAGGAATGGTGAGAGGCTGTGAGGTTACATCAGTGTTTCCCTGATCTCCCTAGCAGCTGCCATAATTTCCCCAACACCCTTCAAAACTTGATAATGGAGGGATCAGGGGGCAGCCGACACAGATTTGACAAGAGAAGCCCAAACCATATCAAATAGAAATAACACTGTTATTCTCGGCTGGTTCACATTAATAGGATTTTTACTAACTAGGAAAACTGTCGGTAGTTGTGTTTTCAGAATCCTGTCTATATTCCATAAACCCTCTCCTACAGCCCCATGGTAAAAGTGCTCTCTTTCTTCCTCTGGACCCAGATATAAAATAACTTGTTTAAATGTAGTTAGAGTTTTATATATTTTAAACATCATCATAAACATCTTTGCAGAATCTTTCACCGTGAGAAAACAATTATAGTGTTGATAACTCTACTGCATTAACCAGCATACACTCAATGAAGTCATTTTGATCAGAGAAGTTGCTCCTACCGAAACAATTTGTTAATGATGGGAAAAAGAACCCACATCTTTGAGCTGCAGAGATATCCAGCATCTCAAAGCCTTGATGCCTTATGTTGGGACACGTGACTTATTTTTGAGTTTTAAAGGCAATTTTTTTTTGCAGATGAGACTCTACATTGGGTCAGCATGAGCTGGGGATCCAAGCAATAAAGAAATCTGGTTTTGAAATGGTCTGCAAAGCCCATGACATAGTGGGTTTTTTTCCCCCTTTTCCATGTCTCTCATGTTACATAAAATTACCAAATATATGTGTTCTTGACATTTTTTTAAACCAGTATATTTTTACAAACTTTCTCTTATAGATTCTATAATTATTTCTATTATTTATATGAATTTAAATGATAACAATCAAGACAATACATCAAAAAACAATAGAATTATAACCGTTAAGGTAATATGATCTTTATATCTCTGTTATAGGCAAAATTTCATGTAACTAAAACAGTAAAGAGTGATTTGGCATTGTTTAAACCAAATGATTAATAGAAAAGACAAGAAAGAAATATAAATCATATATTTAAGAAATTTTGGAATAAAATATTGTAGGATCCTTTCCTTATTATACCGTGTGAAAGAAAAAAATCTAAATCTAAATACTTCTGCATATGTATGTGTGCACATTCATTATTATAAAAGTATAATAAGTCTATATTAAAAAGAGATTTACTTTAAAAATCTTTGGTAGAGATACTCTGAGGTTATGTGATAAAAATGCACTATAAAGATTGTAAGCAAGCAGGATTCTGGCAATGCCACAGTGATGGGTCTGTGACAGCATTTTCTTATAACTTTTTTTTTTGGTATGTAAACATTCAGTTACATAAGGACTTAAATGTAACAAACAAGTAGAATGTTATTGCATTTTATAGTATAAATATTTCATAAATGCTTCCTCTTTCTGCAAAATTTATAATAATATGACTGCACTTCAACAGATAAAATCCATCTCTCAATAAATTGGGCTTTTGGCCTCAAGACAATTTCTCCCAAATATTTCATAGAAAACAAGTTACTGAAGCAATTTAAGCAGATTATATTATCACCCCAATTGTCTAATAGTCAGTGCTCTTGAAAGTCATCAGCATGGTCTGGCCTTTAATTTGGAAGACAGAAATTCAGCAATACAGTTGCTATTGTATCCTAAAATTCACATGCTGCCCAGAGTGAATCCCACTGTGTTTCACATTATGAGAAACCTAAGATCAAGGATTAGAGCAGCAAGGTCAGGGAACGACAGTGGTGGAAGGAAACTCTGAAAACCTATAACTTTGGTGGCTCTAAAACAAAATTGTTAGGTGACCAAAGCAACTGAGCCACAAATTAACTTAGATGAGCTGTAGTGACCACAGGCTTAAGAATTTCTTATTGAAAAAAAAAAATTGCACCACTTTTACGATTATTCCTACAAAAGTAAAATAAGTTGAATCGGAATTCCTGAGGCATGGGTCGCAATTCAAAACATGCACTTGTAATTTTTCATTTCTGTTCTGAGTCTTAAAATTAAAAATTAAAACAAAAAGTCAGACTGGAAAACTGACTTTATCATTTTATAATCATGAAAAAGACATTTGTGGTTCAGGGAAGGGTACAAAAGGGAATGTAACTATATTTGTTATATTTGATTTCTTAAACTGGGTTTTAGGTATACAGGGATTCATTATATTATTATTTATACTTTTCTGTATATTTAAAATACCTCATAATTTAAAAAGTATATACTTGTGGAAGACTTGAAGAAAGGTTTAAGAAATCTCATCCAAAATAATTAGTTTACAAAACGGCAACCTGCCATTACTGAGATAGGTGTCTCTCCTCAAAAGAAACATGTTTGAGCCTAAGGAAGGATGGGTCTGCAGTTGGCAGGCAAGCGTTCCACTGCCCAATAAGAGTCTGAATAAAGATTCCAGGCAGAAACTCTGCATATTTTTAGCTCAGAAAGGCAATTTTTTTCAGTGATTGTTTTTGAAAGTGTGGTGTAAATGTCACATCGATGATATGAAAATGTCTCCTGCAATATGTAATTTGAATTGCAGAAGGATTATGAGAATAATGAAACTGTGGTTTTATAATCTTTTCAAGTTTTCCTGTCTTTTTAAAGTAAATTAAACAAAGCTACACAATTTTATTTTGCATGCCCCAATTTGCGATCGTCAGGCATAAAGGACCTGGGCCTAACGAAAAAAAAGAATTTGATCTGTTCTTTACAGCTATTTCCTCTAGAGAAGTAGTCAACTTTGGTAGTTGTGTTGGATATTAGAAAAACATGGCAATATTTCTGAGCTGAAAGCAGGACAGTATTGGAAATGTTATATTCTAGACAAAATCAAGTCTGTCTGGATTATTATGTCCAGAGAGAACGGAAAAGGAAAATCTTAAGATAATATTGTGGGATAATAATGGGCTTTTCAAACATAGCCCCAAAATGCTTTTTCCAGCATGTTTCACCTGTAATTTGTTTAGAAAAAGATTGAACTTTGGATCTCTCACCAATACCTGTCTTCAAATGAGCCCTGACCACTGGTCACTATAGATTTTGTATTTGGACGGTCATAAATTAAATTGGGGCTTGTTTTAACCTATGTAGCTTACAGCTTAAATTTTTTATAGCTTAACATATAAATTGTGCATTTCTTTTTCCCAAGGGACATTTCAATTTAGAGCAACAGAAAGATATACTTTTCAAAACACAGAAAAAGAATGGCTATTCTTTTATGATCACAGGCAGCATGGAAGTGATAGGTTGGAGCCTTCAGGCCTAAAAGCACCTGTGAGTTGGCAGACTCACCCAGGAAAAACTGTGTGATAGCAAATACCACACTAAAAAAAGCCACTCAACCAGATGAAAAGTGAGACAAACATAGGGATTAAAAGTTACAGGAATGCAGAAGTGAATGGGATGGAGCATAATCCGTGCAAAAATGTGGAATTCCTTGGGAACAAAGGCCCATCAAGGTCCTACATGATTAAATGTGAAATGTGTACTTGGTAAGAACTTAAAAAAAAATCTCATAATCTATGTGTTTCTAAAGAAAGGTTAATAGTAGATGAAGAACAGAGACCATCCCATAGCTTGATAGCCTTTCCTCTATTTTCCTATTTCTTTTCTTCTCTTTTTCTTGTGTTTCATTCTTCTCCACACCAGCAGCTAACCAGCTACAACAGGCGAGTGAATTTAAAGGTCGGTGCTGGCCTTGGCGGTCAGCACTCGGATGCGGGCGGAGTTGCAGGCCTTGCAGAGGATGTGTCCATCCAAAGGGTAGCAGCCTTGGTTATCTCCTTCAGACAGGAGACCACCACAATCCTGGAAGAATGAAGACAGAGGGAAAGGATGTCAGTGAAAATGTCAACTATGTGCATGAAGACTGAATTCCTTAACTTTCCATTCAAGCCCTCCAGGAGGTGCCACTTACTACCTTTCCTCTTCATATACCACCTGCCCCCTCCATTCCTTCCCCAGGATATAACATAGTAGGTCTTGAATTAAACTGAATTAGAGATTAGGGGCATAAATACAAACAGGGTGAAATGACCCAGCTAAGGTCACTTAATAGGAAATAGAGGCACAGGAAGAGCCCAAGTTTCTAGGCTCCAAGTAGCAATTTTGCCTCCTCACTCAACAACAACAACAGCAAGAACAAGAGAAACTAAAACAAGAATAGATCCCTAACCACTAATTCATCTTTACCCTTTATTGTTAGTTTAAGGATCTCTCAAAGGGAATACACAGGTGCAGGAATGGAATTTCTCGGTAAAAGCTAAGCAGAAAGAAGGGCCACCGGTGGGCTCTGCATACTTACTCCAACTGTAGTAGGAAAATAAAATCCTAAGGTTTGTGGGGAGTAATGATTTGTACTTCCTAAAGGAGATACCTCAGTGTAGAGGAATGAGTGCTGGACTGGGAGACAGGGCCTCTGGGCACCTCCCTTGGTTCTGCCACTGCCTCTGTCACTGCAGGCAGGGCTGTTGTCACTCTGAAAATAATTCCTGCATTTCCTACCTTACCAAGATGTTGGGAGGATCAAAGAGGATAATGGATGTGAACATACTTTAAAAAAATGCAAAGAGCTACATAACTGTAAAAGATTATCCTTCCGTTGATAGCATCTCTGAGAGGCCATTTTGGGAAGTGTAATATAACAGTAAAATGCTGGCCCTTACCTTTGGAGAAAATAGAAATTTCTTTGAAAAAGAAAAATATACTACTTCATCTAGTGGTGTGTGCCCTTGCTAACTTCAGTAGAAACTCTTTTTTTAAAAGGCCACGACTGCTGCACGTCTCACCTCTGCTGTCTACCATGACAGCAAGGAGGTCATTGGGGCTCATGTCTGCATTTGACAAATAATGAAATTTCAGTTCAAAAAGGGTGTCACCCAGAACACCACAACAGCAGCAACAGCAGCAATAGTAATGCTCCCCAGGAAGGTCGGCTTTACCAAAATGAACAAGCAGATATTTTGCAGCTGTAGAGGCATTCGGGAAACTGAGCAATGGAACTCAATTAAATCTTTTCATTGCAATAAAAAGAAAGAAGAAAATTTCAGAAATGACAAGGTTTTAAGCATTTAATGAGCTAACATCTACAGTCACCTGAGTACCCTAAAGAGCCCAGAGTCGATCACAGTGTTGGAACCATCAATGCCTGGAATCTTAGAACCAAAAGAAGCCATACAAGGCATACAGTTTACAACTTCCTCATTTTATAGATGCGGAAGTGAGGGCAGGGAGGGAAGTGATTTGTCCAGTGTTATGCAGCATCCGTGGCAGGACTTGAACAGTGGTCTGCCCTCTTCTAATTCAGTGTTCCTCCCATTCTATAGTATTGTTTCTAAAAAAATTCACAGTATTTTGAAGCAAACTTAATTTGTATCCTCATCTGCAAAATGATCTTTAAGGAATCTGTTAGCTCTTTCACACTTATGATTCGGGTCAATTTTAGGACTGAACATTGTTGTTCCTCTTTAGTGCTATAAGCCAGTAGTTTTTTATTATCTTTTCTTATGTTAAGGCCAGAGAAAGGCATGCAACTTGGCTCTAGGGCAAAACAAAGCACATGGCATAAACAGGCGGTCAGTTACAGCTAAGGCAGTGACTGGGCTGAATGCAGTCCCAGAGAGCCAGCCTGTGTCTTGGGAACATCTCCTCATGGGACTAGAGGAGCTGATCTCATGAGGACATGATAATAAGGAAGTTTATATTACCCCACGGGGACAAGAGGGAGCTCGTAGTTGCTCAGCACTCAGTTTCTCACTCAGAAGAGCTAGTGGAAAACAAAACCCCTTCAAAAGAGGGACTCTGGGTCACTTACAGAACCAGGATACGAAAATATTTCAAAATCATTTTCTGAATGTGGTATCTTTTGATCCCCAGACTATAGGGGAAAGACTTGCTGCCCTTTGCTGTATAAATGACTACATGTCCCTTGGGCAAGAAGCCTACCTTGTCACTTCTAGCCTAGATTGCAGGTCTCTTGTATGTATTCCCACAGCACCTTGTGCATAGCTGTCCTGTAGCTGTCAGCAGTCATCTGACTCCTGTCTTAAGTGCTCAGTCAGTGCTCGCTAAATTACTGAATCTCCATGATTTTGAACATAAAGTTCCAACCCTGCCTAGAGGAATGAATTCTTATCCTTCTCAATTGGTGACAATGGCATCTCTGCCCCACAGGCGTATCAGAGCCAAAGTGAAAGATTCAGTATAATGATAATGATGATAATAATAATGATACCATTTCTCAATAATTTAGCACTTGATGATTTACAATGTCCCTTAATATATAATTTTGCATTTTAGTCCCACAGCCATATTTGAGGGAGTTAATAAGAATCTGAGTCCTTTTTACAGGTGGGGAAAGTGAGACTGAGACAGGTAAAGTGACATCCAATGTCACTAGCATTAAATGCCCCCGTCAGATCTAAGACCCAGGTCCTATGAACACAGGCACTAGGGCTTTCCTAGATTTAATAATTGTTATGTTTATGAACACTTGACTCTAACGAGCCTCAGTGCCTGCCATGCAGCGTGTGGGGGCGCTGACGACAGACCTCACAGCGGTAGCAGTGAACGTGGAAATCGCGATCCAGAGCCACAATCCGGACAGTCTCCTCCTGGCCCGGGGCTGGCATGATAGGCTCCTTGCACACAGAACATCGGGGTGCAAATTTCCTGAAAATGGAGAGAGAATTCTGGTTAGATACTGAGCAACAGACACTGACAAAGGGGTGAGACCCAGAGGCGAAAAGAAAAGATGTCAGGACATCTGGTCTGCCATGTCCTGTGACCTCGAGCAAGTCACTTGCCTTCTCTGGGTCTGCTTCCTCAGCTATAAAATAAGGGATTTAGACTCAGTGACTGATTAGGTCCTTCTAGATCATAAATATTGTGATAATTGGTGAAGTGGAGGAGTGACTGTGTGAATTGCTTACGCATGAAGAGCACCTAGGAGCTACTGGCCACGCGGCATGTGGCATGAAATTTATCTGTGGATAGATTGCCCTAGGCTTGGGCAGGCTAGCCAGAGGGGAGAACAAAGGTCCTGGTGGCCCCTACTTGTTTCTGACTTTTCCTTCTAGACTTTTGTATGTGCTCCCCAGGCCCTACCCAAATATTCTGAGGTTGGTGACTTTGCCTCATTCCCACTTATTAGAGCCTCTTTCTTTGAAATGTGCCTTGAATTCTAGGAATTAACACAAGAAACCTCAAATACATGTCTTTTCAAAGCAGCAGAAGTTAGAGAGTTTAAATACTCTTTACACCAAACTTACATAGTCAAGTTTGCACTTCTTACATTTTGGCTGTGTTAAATTTTTGTTTGAAAAGAAAAAGTTAAAAAGCTCGCAGGTTCTTTATTCTTTAAAGGATTTTAGCACTTCCAAAGGGTATGTGTATGTGGACACATATATACATACATATACATACACATATACGTGTGTTTTTGAGGTTAACTGTTGGTGAGGAATTGTAATATTTCCTAATCTCCTAATAGTCCTTAATATAACCAATGACCCTAACATTTTTTTCTCATACGGATTAATAGGCTGCAAATATAGGCCGTGCATCCACCTGTATCTTTTGGAAATTAGGGGTGGCATTTGTGAAGGTGTGAAATGAGACACGGTTTGAAATGGACATGGATAAGAACTGAAAAGAGTAAAAATAAGAAAAACAGACTGTGCAATTCTGTTTTTCATGGTAACGGTTTTAAGATTAATGATGTTAAAATTTATCTATTTGTAGTGAGACTGAAAAAGAAATAATGGTTGTAATCTAATACTTTGGAGAGCACTTTATGGTTGTTAAAGCATTTTTACATACATTATACTCTATATGTACATATTAATTTTCCTGGCAGCACCCAAAAGGCATCCGTATGGCTGCAATCTAAATAAATATGAATTAAGCAGCAGATCAATTGATTGCTATGAAAGAAAAATTAAAAGGATCATGGTACAACTGCAGCAGTAATCAGAGTTGTTATAATTGGTATTTTATGCAAGAAGTTTATACTTAGCAGCAACAAAATTGCTTTGGACTACCTGATTATTTTTGAATCTGGGTCATCAGTAGTGAAATAAGCAGGCTTCGGGAATTAATTGCAAAATTTCCTTTCCCCAAACCCATTGGGACTATACACTTTGTGAGGTCAGCAGTATGTCTTGCTTAACACTGTGTCTGTGAGCCTTCCCCAATTCCCCCAAGTAGGATTACTTACTCTTCTAGGATAAAATATCTTTCATTGAATTTGCCTATTTTGGTAGTAATTATTTGCATATCTTTGGGGACCACTACACTGTGAGCTTCCAAAGGACAGGATTTCTCTATTTCTGAGTCTCTAGAAACAACCACTGTGACTGGTGCAGAGAGTAGAAATTCAGGCTATATTCAATGAAATGAAGTATCTGCCATCTTTCTCTACAAAAAGATGTTACTTGGGCCTTTATGTTCAATCTCAAGGTCGTTTCTCTCTGGAAAGGCATAAACTGTATTCTTGCTGAGTAATGATTCCTTCCTACCAATTGGCCTCATTTCTATGATGGGAAAAAGCAAATTAAAAAGACAGGAAGTGGTTTCAACAGTCCCCACAGTGTTCCTTGGCTGGCATTTCGAGGATTGTTCAAAATCCCAGGTGGTCTATTTCAAGGCTCAGCTCACTAAGCAGGCAATAATAATAATAAAAATAAATTTGATAAAAACACCTTTGATGATGAAAATAGCTACCATTTATTGTGTGCTTATTATGTGCCAAGCCTTGTTAAGCACTCTAGACACTTGACCTTATTTTTTACTGACAGCAACATTATGAAGAAATATTTTTATCATTTCTACTTTATAGCCATGCGAGCCAAGGCTCAGAGAGGGATGGTCTTCATCATCTTGTATCCTGGCACATTTCTGGCAATCAACAAATGAATGCTGATTAAACAAATATATGGATGAGTGTAGTATCCCTGATAAGAAGGCACAGATAGTGGAATAAAGACTCAACTTAATGAAAGGGTCAGTTAAATAAGCCTGCTTTTCTGAGTCCACTGTCCTGGTACTGCAAATACAGAAAGAAACTAGGCCTCCAGCCGTCAGACTGGTGGGAGTTCTATATATGTTTGCATTTGTTCTATTAATTTATATATAATTATCCTATAGTATTGCAAAAATGATTTAAGGTGGTTACTCTAAAATTTTATGTGTGTGTGTGCGTGCGTGCGTGTGTGTGTGTGTGTGCTATCGATCGCCAATTTACAAAACTCTATAAAACACAGAGGAGATATAAGTTCAAACATGCGGATAAGGAGGGGCTGAGATCAGAGAAGACTTAGAGGAGATGGTAATTGAGTTGGGCCTTGAAAGATGGCCATTTAGGTGAAATGGCAAAGTGTGTGTGTGTGTGTGTGTGTGTGTGTGTGTGTGTGTGTGTGT